CTATGTACGTATTAAAGCCCCAGCATTTGACAAGCTCTCACATTGCTTCCTAATGTTTTATTAGAGTCTTAACAATGTTTGTGACAATGCGTTATCTCTAAACAAACAAACAAACAAATAAATAAATAAATAAATAAATAAACAAATATTTAAAAGCATCAGACAGGGAAAACACACTTAAGAGGAAGCAACTACTATCCCTACCTGTCTCTTTCCTTTTCCTTAGTGATAACTCTGGACCAAAGCTGTACTCTTAGGACAACTGTTCCTTGAGCAAGTGCATTTAGATGTAGCACAAGTTGTGACCGCATTTAAATAGTAATGCAGTGATAATGTAAATTCCAAGGATGAACGTGAGATAACTATAAAAACCTTCATGCAGTGTCACTGAGGTCCTCCCCAGTCGTTATGAAAAAGGTAGAAAGGTCTTTTCCATGGTTACCTTTGGCTATGCCATCATCAAAGTGAAAACAAGATGGTTTGGGCTGAGAATCCCAGAGCATAATGTTGTAATACTTTGTTTTTCCTCCTTATCTCAAAACATTAACTTAAAAAAAGAATCTCAAAGGGTAGAACAAATAAATCACATTGAGAAAATTACCATTTTCTTCATTAGAGAAAATTATTTAAGCTCTCTGAAGTAAATATATATACAAGAGGCTCATTAAATTCAGAAATAACACAAATTGCCATTCTAAACCAAAATAGTTCATTTGGATAATGCATTTAATTGTGGTTTGGCCAAGAGGTCAACATTGGTGTGATAAAAAAAAAAAGAGATCTGCATAATCTACTTAAAATTCAGTGGGTCAAAAAATAAATTTTAAAAATAAAATCTTCCCATAGTCTCAACCAAACTCCAATATTAAAAATTAAGAGAGATTACAGAAAAAATTCTGAATGTCTCTTGCTTTGCTTGACTATCATGCATTATCTCTTCAAGTTAAAATTCAATTGGAAAAGGAAATATTAATACCCATGACCACAACTTGCCTCTTACTTATAACCACATTTGGTAACTTACCTCTGCAGATGCCTTTCAATTGTTGGTAAAAGTGAAGGAAGATTTCATTATTGGGATGGGGCACCTTGTGCTCGTAACAGTTATGACTTCAACGTTTGTCATTTACTCTAACCTACCATGAAAAATCAAGAATGTACATTTATATTATACAGTGAAATATTAAAAATTATTTTAATTTCAGGAAACTTTAAAAGTACATCTCTTGAGATATTTGAAATTTGTAGTTGGACTAGATAGCCCTTGCAATGTCAGTATTTTATAAGGTGAAGTTTTCTCTCCAGGGTCTGTCTGCCTGTGTTAGAATCTCAATAGCTATGCTATCCTGACAAGTTCTTTTCATCTATTCCTTCATAGGGTTTTCACAAAAATTAAATCTGATCATCTAAAGGGTTTAGCATAGTATGAATAGAAAGTGAGCACTCAATAAATATAAGCCTAATTAACTTTTTAAACTTCTAAGCCTGAAGGTAAAGAAGCAAATAGATTCCACTCAGCCTTCTCTCAGCCTTTGCCTCCATCATTTTCCTGGTTCCCAGTCCAATTCCTAATTGTCTTTTCCCTCATAAAGCATGCAAACACACTGGTCTCATCATAAAAATCAAGAGATAGAACGTCTCAAGTTAGAATACAGATCGATACATCTGGCAAACAGTAGGCATCAAACAATTCTAACTCATATCCTGCTTCCCTACATAACATGACTCAGAATTCTAATTAGAAGTCAGACCAACAACAAATTCTGCTACCGTCTAAACAAGTAAGTCAATGTTTTGTTCATCTATTTTCTCTTACATAATCTTATGTAATTTCTCCACTGAACAAATTCCATCATGCAGTTTAATAAATTTAAATACTCTACAAAGAATGAAAACATTAACTGTCCTCCTCTCTGTAGAAGAAGCTGATCCTTCTGGTTGTGTGTGTTTGTGTATGCCCCTAAGTGTCTTGAGAGGTGGAGAAGGGAAATAACATGGTGGTGGAACTCCACAATGTTTCATGGTCCTTGGACTTGGGTAAGAGATGTATATTTTCTGCCCTCACTGGATGGCTGAAAATCAATTATTTTACATAAAATGCTTTGAAGATTAAACGTATTAATAATAATCAATGTGGGTCCTGTTTAACAAATTGATTTGTTTGATATAATTAGAAATTATAATTCTATTAATTACTTCATTAGTGAAGAATTTTTTTTTAGCACTTCTCATCTTCATATCTTTATGGCCCCAAACTGAGTTGCAGTATAACATCTGGAAATACCAGTACATATTTTCAAAGTTCTGAGAATTATAAATTGTCTTTATCTTGAAAACCAAAGAAGACCAAATTTGTAATTTTCATAAATGTTTTTCTTCATTATTTCCAATGTAGAAAAGGACGAAGAAAATTTTTTATTTTTAAGTCTCTTTTTTAAGTGGTTTTGTGGGTAAAAAAGAATCAAGACTATAAAATAAAACCACTGAAAGTAAAAGCAGTTTATCCTAATATAAGACAAGCCTATTGATTTTTAAATGTTAAACATACTGAATAGCTCATATTTCCAGAAAGTGAATTACTAGAAAAGCCATTATTTTTAGTATCTAAATCTCTAGTTCTGGAAATATTCTGAATGAGAAAAATTGGATAAAATCCAGAAGAAAAAAAAGACTTGTAATTTGTGAAAAATTAATAGACATCTTTGCTTAAGAAAGAAAAGTGAATGGTAATGACAAAAAGAAGTAATACATATGTATATTAATTAATATTAAGGTTATGGGTGATAATTCTGTGAAAATAAAGTTTGAGACAAATATAGAAAATCTGAATTTCACAGGAAAGAAGAATGGAAAGCCTGAACATATTATCTCTTTTCATTGTTAAAACTTCATTTTTCACAATTCATATGGGACTAGAAACATCTAACAGAAGCCCTCTTTAAGAATGAGAAAAACCGATATTAAAGGGTAACATACGCAACATAGATTTATTTGAACTTACTACTTGCTCAAGTCCTAAGATAGCATTAAGTTTAGTCATCTGCATTATTTAACTTTTAAAGTTTTTTTTTTTTTGGATACTTGGAAATACATCTGAGTTTGTCCCTTTGTTTTGCCTGGTGATGTGCCAGTGAGAAGAATAAGTTATAACTACAGAATGGATGGGTGGTTTTGTTTCTATTCAAACATTCCTTCCTGTTAGTGTTACCCCAGGTGTTTTTTTTTTTTCTTTTGATGACTAATGGAAGACCCAGACTTAGCCACTCCTTCTCATTGAGAAGGCTGCACATCCTTACACAGAGAAGTCAATAAAAGAAATGTAAAGCAATGTACACCAGGAAAGCTAAGGGAAGTCAAGAGAACAAAAATTCTGCATAAACTCACCAAAGTTGATCTGATGCACCGTAAGGACTGCCAACGACCATGCTTCATTCTCTATGCGCTAAACAGCGACCTACGTCATGCTCTTCTTTGTGTATTTGCTCCAAACATGAAAATGCAAATCCTGATTCGGACTCCAGTGAACTCATGTAGTCTGGCACCACTGTCCTACTTAAAGCCTGACTCTGTTTTCGTTCTGATTGTGTAGTCCCACGTGTATCACCTCTTGGTACCTTTTCCTAGTCCAAGGTAAGGAGAGTATTTCCTGTAGTGTCAAATTGATCTGTTTCAACCCTCTAAAAAATAATAAATGCCATGTCGTAGTTGTAAGAGTTTTTATTATCTAAGCTGCTAACACCATTTAGGCTGCTGAGTGCAAAGTTTACACTGAGAGCAGGTTGACTGAAAATAACTTATTTGCATATGCAAATACATATGTAGTGCAGCTGTGAGTTGGAATGCCATGACCCTACCAGTGTGGATAAGAATATAAATGTTACTGACCGGTTAGCAAATAAACCACAAAGATTGCAATGCATAGTAAACAGTCATGGTCAGTGATGACCGATCCCCTTAACCTTCCTCTAATACTTCTCAAACGTTTCAGGCATTTATAATGAGTCCTCTTTTAACATGAGAAATTGTGTCTATTTTCAAAATAATGCCTACTCGCTGACTTGGAATAACAGTTTTTAAATTCTGATTTGATGGAAAGATTAGAAACCCCAATGAGACATGTAAATATCTCTCACAGTGTATAAAAATTTCCTCTTTGTTTCTATACACTCTTGTTATTTTCTTTACCCGAAGGGTCATGGCAAATGTAGTGACTGCAGGTCGGAGAACGTCTCTTAAGATGTAAGACTGTCTTTGGAGAATGAACAGTTGTTAACAGAAAGAATCTCATCTTCAAAAATAATTTTTACATGCTCTAAGTGGCTTTCTTGAGTTATTAGTATTACTAATTACATACAACTTTTTAAAATTAAAATACTCTCATTAGGATACAATAACATGAGTGGTTTTCTAATGTAATTCAAATGGTTTTTGTTTTTTGAAACTATCCTTTTCCCAGTTCAAGATACACACTGAAAAACTAATTGGTCATTGGAAAGGAGTCTTTCACGGTTAAGAATTTTGTTATGTAGAGCCATTATCTTGAATAAGTCATGATTATTTTCATACAAAAAGTTGAAGATGAACTGCTCTATGCTTTGAATACTCACCAATTTGTGTATTTTCTCATAAAATTGAGAATTTCTGCTGAGCAGTATGATTAAGTAGAATAAGAAAAATCATATTTACATGTCTTTTCTCTTCTTTCTCTTCCCAAAAGTCCTTCATGCTTTCCATGTTTATTTGATTAGTAGCTCTATATTCCCAAATAATTTTCAAGTCTTATGCTCATATGCCATTGACTGTTTAACCACTTATGCCTTTCCCCACCAACCTCTGACCAGAGACGTCTCTTCTAAAACCTAGAAGAATATTTATAGAGTGCATCTTGGTTGGTCTCCTATGAAAGAAAAAAAATGATAATTTGTCTTAATGCGATTTCCTTCTGAGAGGAAGATGATTTTCCACTGACATATCATCTTGATATAAGAAGGGAGAAGTTCTTATCTTCATTTTATTATTTATTAGTGGGGAAACTGAAGCCCCGGATACATCAAAAAACAGTTAACTTGCCCAGAGTTACACTGTGATTGTGCAAAGCTAGATGCAGAACCCAAGACAGAGCTCAGATATTCATCCTAGGGGCTGGATCCTAGTTTTCCAAAAAATTATGCCTTCTCCTCTCCCTTTCCAGCAAGACCACAAGAGAAATACTCTTCTACGGAACAAAATATGAAATACAACATTGACATAATGACAAAATATTCATATTTTAGAGCTATCCATGTATGACATGTACATCCTAGACAAATTTTCTCATTACCTACATAAAATTTTGGAAAAGAGACAAAGTAGCTTAAAAGATAAAAATTATAGAAGATTGTAGAATTCATTAGGAATATGACAAATAATTTCACTAGCATCAGCCACTGCACACTTCAAAAACAGTCATTGCTCTGAGGACAAATTAAAAAAAAAAGTTTCCTAAAAGAATTTAGTTATTTGAAATAGAACAGTAAATGGGTCAGATCTCAAAAGTCAACAAAATTTCCTTAAATTTAAGGAAGGAAAGTTGTGGGTTTTTTTGAGGGGCTCCTATAAGATTAATTTTCAAAATGGCATGCTAGTTAGTGGTCATAATTAATATTCCCATTAAAGTGCTGGGTACTCCAGGAGCAGACATCTATTCTTAGGAGAAATCAGAACCCCAAACTTTCTAATTCTCTTGCTCTGATCTATATAATTTTTTTAAACTGAATACTTGGGACATTTGTACTTCCATACTTAATGTGAGATGAAACCAGTGTCATAATAAGTTTTCCATTTTAACAACGAGGTATGTGTCTCTTTTCAACGTCTATGCCTGGAACCATTCCAAGGACTATTTATGTCAATGTGGGACACTAGCAGCTTCGGCACTGTCATCTGCCCTTTGCGTTCCTATTTGCTGTTTATCATAAGCTCCTCTGTCTACTAGGTCACATTTAGTGCAATCATGTCCTAACACAGCCTGACGAAACTTGCTGTTGTGATACTCAGCTCACATTTCCGTTTCTGTTTGATTTCTGCTATCGCATTACAACCACCTGTCCAGGGTCCAGCATCTAAACTTACATGTTACCATAGAAACATATCAAAGGTGTGTAAGTTGCTTTGGAAAATGTTCAAATTTTAAACACATACCTATTTACTCCTATTATTACATTGTTCAGAAAGATAATAATAAATATTTTATTCTGGATGCACCGAGAGCATCTATACTGTGTAAGAATAAAACATGCAGTCATCTGGTCCCCTCAGAGAGAATTGACTGTCTTTATGCTGGTTGAGGCAACACAGAATGTGGCTGTATCATTACTGCATGTATTCAAGCAAGTGGTCACCCTTCATTCAAATCTGTGTAAGTTCAACTGGTAAGAGTTGTGGCATCTGGGAACCTAAAAGACTACTCTATATACAGTGTTTGCTGAACACATGCATTCCTGCTGAAAACAGCAGAGTGCATTCAGCACCTCATCATATCATGCACACAGGAACAGAGGTGGCTGGAGAAGAATACTGTGATAACTGCACCATAAACAAGCAACAGATACTTTTCCCTCCTTAGTGACAACCGGAAGCAGTTCAAAACCATATGTTCCTTTCCCATATATATGATCAATAACCTGGTAGGTCAATTAGATGAAGCTCTGAGTCAATGTCAGAACACAGGAAATATTAGCAACGCTAAAAAGCAAAGGCATGGATTGCAACTTCAAATTGTCCTGCTGTTTCACGGTCACCCTTAGACCCTCACACCGACAGTTATTTTTGAAGCATGCGGCTAAAGTTAAATAGACCATGTCTGTGCTCAGATTATTTTTACCACTCACTCACTTTTAAAAGCTTAGTCAAGCTTGCTTCATACATGGTTAAATAGAAAATACCCTGAAATTCAATAAATGTCAGAGGTCAAGAGAAAGGTACGATCCTCACCACAAAAGCAACGGAGTCCCAACTTCAAGGCTGATTCCTTACACTGTGGTTACCTCGCTGCCTTGTGCCTAAGGTAGGTAGATACTGTAGCACAGCATGGAGACTTGCTTCCCTGAAAACTGCCATGATGAGTCACAGGAGTTATGGGCACAAAGAAAGGAAAATGGAACCCGTGGCACATAACATCTGTTCTGAGACTCCTGAATTCAAGAGGCACATCTTGTGGGCATGTGAAGAAGCGCTAATAGAAACTGTAAAATAGCAACTGTTTTTATAAATCATTCTGTTTTGCACTTCTCCAGTCTGATTGTGGTAACTTGTCTTTCGGTTCTGGTGGCTTTGTTTGGGGATGCTTGGAGATAGTTTAAAAAGCTCATACAAACGGGTACAATACATCAAAGTATCTCCTTTGACTTCCTGTCATCTTGTGTATGTTGTTAACATCTATGTACAGGTGGTCCAATAATATACAAATGGCTGCTATATACTTTCAACTTGATGCAAACATTAACTGCCCTGCTCCCACTATGAAATGTCATGCACGTACCAATTTAAAAGTATGCCTTTCTGATCAACTTCATAAACTTTAGTTAAAAGAAATAAATTTTTTTCTGGGTTCTTACTCATGAATGTGCATTTTATTCTCAATGGATTTAAAGGCCTAGCTATACACAACCTTGTTTACTTTTTCTTTTTTAGTTGATAATAGGCACTTTCTAAGAAGAGGATTTGTGGCCCAAAAGACTCTGGAATTCCGTCTTCAGTACCCTCCTTTCACAAGTGGATCTGCCTGAGCTGCAGCAGTCTATTGTCTCAGCCCAGCAGAAGTCCAGCAGTAGAACTGTGTGCAAAAAGCTTTAGAAAATTGTAACCAGAATAAAAGTATACAAAAGCGGTTATCTGAGTTGAGCAACTTAACATCTACTTTTTAGTTTGTTTAAACCACATTTCACGCGTTACCTCTATAAGCAGTAAGAATCAGGTGTGAACAATTCCGTACCTGTGTTTCATTCTTTCTAAGTCACAGATATACTATAAGAACTTCTCTGTTTACATTCTGTTTTATTTTATATCATTATAGTTAAATGTTTTAAATGATTACTTAAATTTTTTTTGTTTGCTTGTTTCTTTGCTAAGCGCCTTTCAACTTCACCCTTGAACAAGTCTAAAAAACACAAATTTAGAACATTCATCACCTTTGGAAAATCAGCATCTCTAACATGAATTGTTAAGACACCCTTTTACCCTGTGGTGCAGTATTTCTATAATAATATACACTACATTAATAGTTCAGTATTTATGGGGTTGATAAAATCAGCTTACAAGATGGTGGCCAGTCTCCAAGACGGAGGGAGTAGGGATATCCTTACAGAAGAGTTAATGATTACTATCTAAGTATAATGTTAAAAAAGGAGAGGTATAGTTGAGCGAAAATGCAGTTCATGCACGAACCCCACAGCAATTAGTTCTCGATATCCCACACTGCTATCTGACAGAGGCAACAAAACAGTCCTTTAAATGGAGCACACACTGCCTGTTGGGGAAAATAACCTAACACTAAGTTACGGAAAAATATCCTATGGAAAGAGATCACAAAATGGCACTAACAGTTTAAAAGGTTGAATGCTTCCTTGGCATTAATTTATAGTTTTAACTTAACAGAACAGTGAGGAAATGACAGCTTCAATATACTCAGCCTGAGATCAGATTTGTCATGGCAACATTGGCAGGTTGGACCCTGATTCTTTAACTATTACATTGCCTTGGTTAACAGAAGTCATACTTTTTAAAATTATAGAATAGAGATTATAAACCAATGTGAAGTGTGCATGCAGTCAACTGCATAATATACAAGCAATATCTAGGTTCTTAATAATTATCTTCTTTGGCAGGCCAGAATCCAGCTGGACATGCAATATTTACATATCAAAATCCATAGTGTTCATCATATTGAAAGCAAGTGAAAATATATATATATATATATATGTATATACTGTATATACACACATATGTATATAGATGTATATACCGTTTTTAATATATTAACAAATATATATGTATATATGTATATTAAAAGTGAATTTCATCTTTGTCTGATTCAGGTGACTCAGGCCTTGAAACGCTAAAAATATCCTGACATGGTATTTGGGGAGGTACTTGGAGCGGCATTTGGGATTTGGGAGAAGAGGTCTGGGGCATGCTTTTTTCTGAGAGTATTTTTAAAATTTCTGCCACCTGCTTCTCCAGGGCAGTCATTCTGCAGCTGAGCAGCTGGATGTCCTCTTTGAGTTCGAGTTTGACTTCCTGCAGCGTGGTCTGTAAGGCTTGCTCGGGGATGGGATAAAAGGGGTGCTTGGCATCAGCCTGGATGGGGCTGTGCTCCAGCGGGCTTCGCGCCTCTCCAGCCTTATCCAAACGAAGGTCACTTTTTGTAATGCCACTGTCACAAGAGTCTGTTTTCCTCAGCGGGTTTTTGGTCACGCTGTTCTCTGAATCGCTGCCCTTGGGGTCCTCGGACAGCAGCCCCATCGACTCGGCTTTGGTGACGTTATTCCAGTCTTCCTTTTTCTCCTCATGGGCTCCCATGTTATTCTTGAGTCGCAGCCACCCTCTCCCGTTTCCATTCTTCATTCTTATGGGGCTGCTGACTTTGAGACATTTGGGGTCAGCACCGCCACTGGGCTTGAGCTCCATGGCATCGCGGTTGTTTTGCTTGAGGGACTCGCTGGTTTTCACGTAGGCCAGAGATGTCTGAATGGGTGTGATCTGTGACACGGTGACCACACTGGTACCGGTGATGGAGGCTCCGTTCTGCAAAGAGCGGCTCTCCACCTGCAGCTGGTTCCGCTCAGGGTCACTCTGTGTTGACCCCTGATTCCGCAGCTCTTTCTGCTGCTTGAACTTCTGGAAGAGCTTCCTGACCGGGTGGTCCACAGGGATGCTGAGGGTGACCTCATTCTTCTGCCTGAGGCGCTCCTCCTCTTCTTTCTTCACATCACTGATTTTGCGGAAAATGATCTGTGGAGGGGGAGAGAAGTTCAAAACGTGATTATAAAAACAGATGACCTTATAGTTGTGTGACAAGATTCCAGATGTACTTTGTTTCACAAAGGAAACCCCTGCAGAAGAGTAAGACTGTTTCCAAAGGGAAAAAATACTCCAGTGCCAGTTAACAGATACAATGTCCTTAACGTCCAATGCAGAAATGCTGACAAAGCCTGCTTAGTTTACTTGGTTCTACCCTGGTGTGTATCACAGGGGGTGTGTAGTAAAGAGACAACCGAATAGAGGTATTTACTTTCTTGTTGCTGTTCCCATTTCATAGAAAATATACAAATAGGTAAAGATATACATATGTGTTAGTATATGTACAGGTGTGTATACATACGTGTATAAGAAAACATATTTATCTCTTAAGCAAGGCATCACTATTCTTTATAAGATTTTCTTTTGAATCATATAACTATGATCCAAACCCATTTTTAATGTCATCCTCTGTTTAGTGGTCAAATAGTAAGAGTTCTGGGCTATAAAATCACTGAAAAGTTAGACAGTTTACCAACAGAGCACCTGGGTTTGGTGAGAGCAGGGATTAAATTTATTTACATGACTTCAGAGGGCAGAACAAGGATCTATACACAGAAGTCTCTGGAAGATAAATACCAAGTCAGCACACAAACTTCATTTCAAACTGCTACCTATTAACTGAATAAAGTGCCTTGAAAAGTCATGAAACTCATACTACTAAAATATTCAGACCAAAGTAAGCTTGTTGTCTGTGTAATACTTTCACTGGGTAGGAAGCTGGACTTTTCAAATTCCAATATTCTTTAAAATTCAAATATAAAATTAAATACATAGTATATGGAGTGTTAGATGAGGATCCACAAATAAGTAAGCATCAATTTTACTAAAAATACATTTTGAAAATCGTATTGGGAAAAAGTTACAATTCCATCAAGATAAATAAGAAAGGTTGACTATGTAAGAAATGACCATTTTTTCGAGTTAGAATTGAATTTGGTAAGCATGAGATTTTTGCTCAGAGTCTCGTTAAGAACAAAATAACTGCAGATACTCAAAAGGGAGTTACATTAACGTGGTTTCAGAATCCAACAATTTTATGATGCTAGTAAAATTACTTACCTCCGTTACCCTTTCTCATTAAGTTGTTGGTTAGATTAGAAGTACAAACAAAGTACATGGTCCTGAGCACATAATAGACACTCAAAATATGTTTGTTGTCTCCCTTGAATTCTCATAAACACTTTTTGTTTGAAAGCATTTCCATCACCTCTTCAAGATTCAGCAGCTTCCAGGGAAAACATATACTCATTGATCTTATACTGGAGACCAATACTGACGGTAATCACTGTTTACACATGTCAGGGAGAAGCAATGCTCCATCAAAGAGCACACTTTCTAAATTGAGACTGATGCACTAAATATTACTTATCAAGTGGTAATAATCTGTATTTTAAAATAAATATTCTCTAAACTCAGCAACTGTCTATAAAGACGAGCATAGTTTTCCTTCTCCACTGGCACATGAAATTGGATCTTTTTAAAAATGTGCTACTAATCTCTAAGGCCGACATCAAAGCTCCAGCAGTTTAATTAGAAGTCTCTCGAAGTGTTGACATGTTTCTTATGCTTCCTAAGTAAACGAGGCTTGTGCTAAACCTTCAAGATATTAACACTCTTTGGGACCAGACAAATCCAAACATGGAAAAAACACAGATACTCTCTTCTTCTATCATCCCGTTTCATTAGAAAGCCACTTACTTGATTCCAGGAACCCACCTGAGGGGACTGATGTAAATGGCCGCACCCTCCTTCCCACTCAACTCTGACCTTGTTTGTTTTTTCAAAGGTAGCTACTTAGCCTTGGAAAGATACAGCCTTGAACAAACAACTGAACAAGCAAGTTGAAGCAAGTTGAACAAACAACCGAAGCTCTGTGCTTGCTGGACAAGTGGAGAATTAACAAATGCCTGTGAGTAGCATCAGGTTCAGATCTTTGATTCACAAATCAAACTGTAAAGAACTTGAATCAGAATCCTTCAGTTGTAATAGAATAATATCCAGTAAGAACTCATTTTCTAGCTGATGACAAAGCAAAGCTTTCTTAATGCAAGGAAAGAGAATATTGGCCCTGAAATTAAAAACAAAGAAACAAAACAAACAAAACAAAATGAAGAGCTGACTTTATCATATTTACAAGGTTTAAAGGCTAATAATCTACTGAGATGCCATACCTGGCTGGTCTATGTCTTACGTGAAAGCACGACAGCTTTTTGTTCTGTCTTAAGTTAGAGATGCATTATGTAACAAATAAGAAAATAAAGCAACAGGAATGCCTAATGTAAGTAACTCACTGTATTTCAAAAACATTAAATGTAACAAGCCTTCAAGCCTCCTCATAGTCTTGAAGATAACTTTATGACCCTAAACTCTAAATTTAATAACAATGTATTTTTGTTACTGAGACTACATTTCATCATAAAAAATAGCGTGAAAATTATTCTACATTACCATTACAAATATAAATATTCTCAAACAAAATATGCTGAATCTTTTCTTCTAAGAAGTGCTTTATAGCTTTAACTTTTTATTCAGGTATAATAAAATGGTTCAACTTAATACGGACTGGAAAGATTGATACCTTTTACTTATTAGTTAAGCCTTCAAAAATAGTGTATTTTTATTTTAGTCAAAAAGACCTACATGCTACTTTTTGGCAATTGAAAGAATCTTCAAACAGTAAAAATTTTCATAGTCCAATTGATTCTTATATTGGCAATGTGTCATACAGAAAGTAAAGCATTTTCTGCTAATTCAAGAATTCAATACATAAACTATATAGATTAATTCTACTTAATTATATAACACGGAAATGATGATGATTTCTCTCTCGAAGACAAAGATTAGAAAACAAAATCCCCCCAAAATCACTTTAGAAAATGTTAAAGGATCTGCGTGAAGTTGAAAGAAGATCAACTTATGTGAATTAAACTGTATAAAGGAAAAAAATACAGACCCATGATTATCAACCTGGTGTTAAAAGAAATCAGCTTTTAAAAATGCAACATTTGGTTTTTTCTCAGTGTTAATAATACAGAACCTCTTACACTTGATGCATTCTGGGTCAATCTTTTGCCCAATGGCAAATCAAATCGCTGATGAACACCAAAAAACTAAGGGCATAATTAAAAAAGAAAAATCATGAATCAGGCCATGAGCCTAGCCACACATTTATTGGTAGGATGCCCAATAGCCTGTGCTGTTTCTATCAGCAAAGAGGTTTATTTCACTTAAGCTTTTCTTCTCCTTGCTTCATTATGTACTGCGGAGCCCATGCTGGAAGGTTTAATTTATTTAAATGATAAAAGCTTCTTAAACTTAACAGGGAACATGGCCAACTGAGCTTTCCATTTCAGAAGTAGGACATTTGATCATAAAAGGGATATCAAAATTGAATAATTTGAATGTGTACTGAACTTTGAAATCCAATAAAGGCAAGGGGGAAAAAAAGGGTTAGAATAATTTATTTAATGACATGGATTTAGTGTTATGTAATTTGGAGGCTAGAGGTGCGCGCTCTGAAGCAGCCCATCACTTCCCAGATTTGCGAGCCTACAGAATTGACATGGAGTTTATAGCTTTATGTGATCAAGCAGCAGCTTGAGTTATCTGACTCTTTAGGATCTAGTTGGTTTGGTTCTTTGGTTCTTTTTACTGTTTCTATAAACTTAGTCACGAATTCTAACTCTAGTCCTTTCAAACCATTCCAAACTGAACTAATACAACAAAGCAGTGCTTATTAAACACCACCATGTTTATATCAGAGGTTATGAACTTCTCTTAACAAAGGCCACAGTGACAGACCTGTGGCAGAGGGCCAGTCAACAAATTTCGATGCATGCCTGAAGGGGAACAAGGAGGCATCACACTCTGTTGCCAGATATGGCTGCCTTGCTTCGTTTCAGCCGCTCAGATCTGCAGGCTCTTCAAGGGCAAGAGATGTGTTGTAGATCTAGTTTAGCCTCTTAGGTCCTAAATAAACTTCGAGGAATTAATAATTGATTAATGTAAAGAAAAAGGAAGGAAGGAAGGTGAGTAGAAAGGAAAAAGGAAGGAAGGAAGTGAGAAAGGAATATCTTTTGACTTTGTTAATGTATTGGGAGGTGCCTGATGTGAATAAGGGTGCAGATGCAGAATGTTCTAAAATTACTGATACAATTATCGAATTTACTAATGAAATGTTCTAGGCCCCATTTTTCTTTACCATGTAAGAAGATCATCCATCTTAATTCTCCAGGCTATCATAAATGTAAGTTTTTTTTTCCATAGGGATCAAAACATAGACTGTAAACTCCACTACTGACATTAGTATAACTCTGAAATACAGTTGTTCAATACATGTTTTTATTACTTAAGTTTTTTAATAAAAGAAGGAAATTGAAGTCTTCAAAATCAAGAATATAGCTATTCGAAGGCAAAGCTAGACAGCTAGAAAGCTAGATTCACTGTCTCAAATGCTGCAGTAACCCATGATTTGTCCTCCCTGCCTCAATTTCTAGCCTCATTTCCCTTCATACCATTCTTTGCTGTTACGTATCAAATATGAGAGTGTCCCAGGTTAAAAAAAAATCACAGAGTAAAATCAAAGCTCTTTTATAAAGTCAGCAAGCCTGCAGTGGTTCGGTTCAACCTGCCTCACCCATCTGTTCTCCTCACTCTCACTTGGCCTTCCCACAACCAGCCACACTGAATTTCTCTGGAATCCAGAATCGATCTGTGATACTGTACATGTTGTTCTCTCTCCTCCTCCTCACCTGGTGGGGAGCCCCTACTTATTCTCTAATCCTCGGCTTAACTGTGCTCTTCTTCATGAGGCAGAACCAGCTCCACAATATGCAGGGCCAAATACAACCTAAAAATTCAGGGCCGCTAATAGCATGCTGAATGGTAAAATACTGAAAGCTCTCCCCTGAGTTCAGGAAAGAGACAAGCAT